TAGTTGATTATTTTTTTTAATATTTAAATTTAATAAATAAAATAAAATTATTTTAAAAATAATAATATTTATTCGAGCTGGCTCACGAGCCGAGCAGACTCAAGCAAATTTATTAAATGAGCTCGAACTCAAGCTCGACTTGTGAGCTTCATAAGCTTGACTCGCGAGCCCATAAACGAGTAGAGCAAGACTTACACCCCTGCATGCTACTCTCCTAAATTTATTTTACTTTAACGTCATCAATTAATTGGGCTTTAATGAAACTGATGGTTTTTTTCATTTTTTAAACTTGGTATTGTAGATAAACTTGGGAGTTTTTTAAATAGGATTGAGATGGTTTGGTAATTTTTTAATTGTGATTAATTATATTCTATTCAATAAAATGCATCAAAATATATGTATAATAATGAAAAAAATATGATGTGATGTAATGTTGGGGCTATCGGCAACCATATGAAAATCTATTGGCAGTCGACGCCTTGGTGGAAGTTTGATGGAAATTGGCGGTCGGACAGTGATCCAATGAAAGTAAGAAAAAAAAAAAAAGGAGATTTGAAGAGATGCAAATCAGATTGTCTACCGGCTCACGACGATATCCTGCTGGTTAAGATAAGAGAAATCCTTAAATACTTCATCCCAATCGTTCCTTTGAAATCCGATGGCCTAGCGGAGAAGTCAACAATGCCAAGGAATTCTAGTTGGCAATGGTCAAATGTGGCGTCGCATAAATGATAAAACTTTAAGCAAATGATAGAGTGAATGGCCCACTAAAGTTTCATTTGAACAATTTTTTACTGCATCCTAACTAAAATTTTTACTTTTTAGTGAAAAAATAATCATTTAAAAAAAATTTGTACTTAAAAAATTATTTTAAAAAATATTAAAAAAAATGATGTGAAGCAATGCTTAAGCTGCAGGATAATAGTTGACTACTTTTTAAATCCGTTTCTAAATATAAATTTTTTTAATAAAAAATATTTTATTAAAAAATCGTTAATTAATTGGAGAAGAGATCTGAGACGATGAAGCTTAAGCTGGTTTTTATTTGAGAAATGATAAGCACAAGTTCAAGCCTTCAATGTAATGTTATGCAAGTAAGTGAAAATAATAATAAAGATTTATTGAATAATTTTTTATTCTCTTCAAATGAATTGAAGGCATTAAAGTCCATAGGGTCAAAGTAGCATCCGCGGGTTGGTTCCCTTCTGCTAGGGTTTTGCGATCCGCGGGTTTTTGCGCTCCTTTCCGCCGCCATACACTCTTCCCTCCCTTCCTGGGAGGGATCCTCCCCCTCCCACCTTGGGATGGCTTCTCCATCCCAAGACTTTCCTCCACTTCCCAACTCCTCGGTTCTTGGCCTCCCCCCATCTGGTCTCTCTTATGCTGATAATGTCTCATCCCCTGCCTCCAAACCTAATACTTTTCCAGTCTCCTTCTTTTCCCCCGGCCAGAAAAAACTTTCTTTTAATGTGAATGACCTTTGCGAAGGAAAGTCTATCTGGAACAACGCTCTCATCGGATACTCCCTTGGCCCTCGTCCGTATTATGAGCGGCTACTCAAAGCCATGCAGAAGCTCTGGCCTCTCAAAGGACCCATGTCCCTGCTTTCGATGGCAGATGGTTTTTTTCTGCTGAAGTTTTCTACCTCCGAAGATCTAGAGTCCATTTTGTCGGGTGGCCCTTGGTTCCTTCTAGGGAAACCTTTTATTCTGCAACGCTGGTCTCCAAAATTCAAACCAAAGCGCGATGAAGCTGCGCCTATTCCGCTTTGGATCAAAATTGTTGATTTCCCGCATGCCCTCTGGACTACGACGGGCATCTCTCGCATCGCCAGTTACATAGGCATCCCGGTCTCGGTTGACGCCCTCACCGCAAATCGTACCAGGTTGACATTTGCCCGGGTATGTGTTTTAATTTCAAAAGATTCTGTTTTGCTTGATGAAATCCCAATTGAGATTGATGGGGAAGACTTGGTTCTTCCTGTTATATACGACTGGAAACCAGATCGCTGTGAAGGTTGCGGTTCGTTGATACACCCTTTCTCCCTTTGCCCCAAAAACCCCAATCCTCAACATATTCTTCCCCCCCCAGGCCCCAAAAAACCGTGGACGTGGCTCCTCCAGGCATAGAACATCCCAACCTCGCCGATCCCCTTCTACTAAGCCTCCTACTAAGCCTCCTACTAATTCCCCTGCCACGAATGGTCCCCCATCCAATTCAACGGCTCTTCCGCCCATCCCGCCCCCAAAACCTGACGCCGTCCCTCGTCCTAACACAGACTTTGTTCCCCCTCCTGATAAGCCTTCTTCTCTTCCTAATTTGAATTTCCCCACTGAAGTCTCTTCCTCCTCAGATATTCCTACTCCTCTCTGTCTTCTCAATACCCCAAAATTACCTCTTGTTAACAAGTTCGCCTCACTCCAGTCTGGTGATGGTGACCTTGCTAATGTTGTTGATTGCCTATCCGAAAATGACTCCTCGACTATTCCAACCCATGAAAAGGATTCTCCGGACTCCTTTGACACTAGCTCTACCTCCACGGATAAGAAGTCTATACCCGACAAAGGAAAATCTCAAGCCAAGGCAAAGCCTCCCAATGGGAAATCGGCCAAGAAGGCCAAAGCCACGAAATACTAATGTCCTTACCCAATATTGCGAGCTGGAATGTCCGTGGTTTCAATCACCCGGACAAGGTGCAGTTTTGCAAGTCCCTTATCCAATCTCAAGATCTCAAGTTTCTTTGTGTTCTGGAAGCAAAAGTTTCTCTGTCCTCAGTTGAAGACCCTTGGTTTTTGAATTCACACTTGTTGTTTGATAATGAAGGAAGTTACAATAATTTTAAGGAATCTAATCCTGGTAGAATTTGGCTCAAATGGGATTCTACAGTTCTCAACTTTCATCCCATCCTCACTTCTGCTCAACTCATTCATGGGGTACTTTCTGCGGGATCTTTTCCCCCTATTTTCATTTCTGTTGTTTATGCTTACAATAATGCGATGGAACGCAGAAGTTTATGGAATCAATTAATTGATTCTACTCCCCCTCTGGACCAGTCGTGGATTATCTTAGGTGACTTTAACTGTTGTCGGTTTGAGACTGAAAAAGCGGGTGGCTCTTGTCTTTCGGATAGTAGGTTGGGGGAGCTCAATAATCTTGTTTTCAAATGTGGTGTGCAAGATTTATCCTCTACTGGCTTGTTTTATACCTGGTGCAATCAACGGGTGGACTCCCCGATACATATAAAACTTGATAGAATATTGGTCAATTCTGCTTTACTGGATCATCTGCCGTTGGCATATTATAAAGTTGAACCTCCTTATGGTTCTGACCATTCCCCGTTAATCTTTATCTCAACCCATGCTAAACCTACTTCTGCTAGGTTTAAGTTCAAAAACTATTGAATAAATATGGAAGGTTTCTGGGATGATGTTTACTTTGCTTTTTCTGTTAAAATATCTAGAAGTCCTCTTGCTGCGTTCTCTCACAGTTTGCAATGCCTCAAAAGATCACTTAAACTCAGGCATTGGGCTTCTTCCAACTTCTTATCTAGCTCCATTCTTGACCTTAAAGCTAAACAGCTCTCTTGCTTGCTTGAGCTTCAAAATCAGCCTTTGGATACTCTTCTAAACAGCAACTTAAAAAATATCAATGAAAATCTTGCCGTCCTGCAATCCCACTGGTCCTCTTGGATCGCACAAAGAGCCAAAGCTTCCTGGCTCACTCAAGGTGAGGATAACCTTGGTTTCCTTTTCGCTAAGTTGAGGCAAAGAAGCAATAAGAATTGCATCAAGGAAATAACCACTGATGAAGGCCACTTTAATTCACATACAGAGGTTTCTAAAGCCATTGTTTCTCACTTTCAAAACCTCTACAATCCCTTATTTACTCCTCCGGCAACCCTTAATATCAACCCCGGCAAGATGGTTCCACCTCACCTTTTTGACTTCTTGGTTGCTCCGGTTTCTTATGAAGAGGTTAAAATCGCTGTTTTTGATGGTAAGGAATCTTCTGCTCGGGGGCCGGACGGATTCTGTTTTGGCTTCTATAGAAAGGCTTGGCACTTAATTGGATTGAGCATTTTTAAAGCTGTCCAAAACTTTTTTCTCACTGCCTCTCTTCCCAAAGGCATGAAAGCAACGGCTATTACTTTGATCCCTAAATGTTCTCATGCCTCCCATATTAATGATTATAGGCCGATCTCGCTTTGCCATGTCTTTTACAAAATTGTGGCTAAGGTTTTAGCTAATAGAATGAAGTTGGTTCTACCTTTGATTATCCATGATAGTCAATCTGGCTTCATTGCTAAGAGGAGCTCCATTGATTACATTATTTTAGCTTCTGAAATTCTTAGGGATTTCAAAGGTCCACAAGAAATTTTGTGCCAAGCTAGACATCAAGAAGGCTTTCGACTCTGTTTCTAGAGAGTATTTGTTAGCCAGGCTCATCCAAAAGGGGTTTCCTGAAGTCTTTATTTCATGGATAAAAGGTTGTATTATGGATGTCCACTTCTCTGTTTGTATTAATGGTTCACTTGAGGGTTTTTTCAACTCCTCTGCTGGTCTCAGACAAGGATGCCCCCTTTCACCCCTTTTATTTTGCATTGTAATGGACGGTCTCTCTCATATTCTCTGCAACTCCTCTAACAGCTTTAATGGTATTCACTGCAAGAATCTCTGCATCAATCATTTAATGTATGTCGATGACCTTCTAGTTTTTGGAACTGCTTCTAGGGCTAATGCTGCCGCCCTCAATTCCTCCCTGCTCCTTTTTGGATCTTTATCTGGGCTCCAGATTAATGCTACTAAAAGCTCTATCGTTTTCTCTACTCCTGGAACCGACATGCTTCAGATATGTGAGATTTTGGGGATACATCAAGTCAAAGAATCCCTCATCTACTTGGGCCTTCCTATCTCCCCTAAAAGACTTCATATTTCTCACTTCCAACCACTACTGAGCAGAATTTCTGCTCTACTTGATGGTTGGAAAATTAAGTTTCTTTCTTTTGCAGGTAGGGTTCAGTTTCTCAAATTTACAATATCCAATACTATTGCCTATTGGATTCGTGGCTCCATCATACCAAAATCTTGTTGTGCCACTATTAAAAAACTATGTTCCAGATTTCTTTTTCATAGCAATGTTCAAGATAAAAAATTACACCTCATTGCTTGGTCAACTGTTACCCTTCCAAAATGCTTTGGGGGCCTTGGCATTCCTTCGGTTGAAGCTCTCTACCATGGAGTATTATGTTCTTTCATTGGCAGATTCTATAACACAAAAAACCTTTTATGTGATTGGTATAAATCTCTTTACATCTCACCATGGAAACCTCCCCCGTCTACTGCCTCAAAGTTCTGGAAAAAAATTCATGTTACCACACTAAAAATCAAAGACCTCCTTACCTTCAAGGTTGGCCTTAACTGTGATTTCTCCATGCTCTGGGACCCATGGCTGAATGGTTCTATTTTGGCGAATGAACATTACAATGTTGTTTTTGATGGTAAAGTGGTTAAAGATTTCATTATTTGTGGCAATTGGTCACTTCCTACCCCGATTCTCACTACCACCTCTGATGCGATTGTTACCTGCAATATCTGGGAGAACTCTGAGGTTCTCTGGGAAGGTTCGATGACTTGGGCTTTTAAAGGTTTTATAGCTCAATTCTACTCTCATTGTACCAAGGTGGACTGGTACCTTTCGGTTTGGCACAAAAAACACATTCTCAAATATGCTTGTTTTACTTGGATGGCTGCCATTGGGAAACTCAAAACGGTTGATAACTTGATCTCTCGTGGCATTGTTGTGCCCAGCTCATGCTCTCTTTGTCAAATTTTTCCGGAAAATCACAACCATCTTTTTTTTTGGTTGTCTGTTCTCTTTCTCGATACTCACCAGATTATTACCGGAGTTAAATTGTTTCTTATTGAGGCCTACCTTACTTCAAATTTTTGATTTTATCGAGCTTTCCCCGATTTACAATAGACAAGAAAAACATTTATGCTGTCTTACGGTTAGCTGCACTATCTACCATATTTGGCGTGAGAGGAACAATAGGCGTTTCTCTAATGTGAGCTTAAACTCTGTCAAACTTATCTGCAACATATCTTCGGCTATCAGATTTAAAGTTTCTAAATGGAAAAACAAAGACGGGCTGCTGAGGAGGTTTGCTGGAATCTAATGGTTGTTTTTGGTTGTTATTATGTGCCTCTCGTTGGTTTATCTGGACTATCTGGTGCATTCTTTTTGTCTAGTTTTTGGTTTTGGAGTTTGGGGTATACAAATTTTGTTGGGGACTTTTGTTTTTGTGCCCCATTTTTGTTACATTTTGGTATACTTTTTCCTCCTAGCATTACTGTTGGAGGCTGCTGCTTCCCTGCTTCTCAAGTTCCTCCCAGGTTCGTTTTTGGAGAGCAATTCACCTCTGAGCTGGATATTCTTGGTGGGATATTACAACCGGACAATGATGAGCTGGCCATTCCCCTTTCTTGCCATGGATGGCCTTCTCGGCAACCTGGCTTGAATTATATTTTGATGTCGGTTGCTGGAGGTTCTGTGATGGCCTTCTCTCCTCTGCTGCTGCTTCACCTTGCTCTGGTTCTTAGGCAACCTGATCCTCCGGCGTGCCCTGCCTCTTCGACTCGGCTTCGGACTTATGATGTTTTTGGGGTTATGGTCTTTTTTTTTTCTGAGTCCTTATGTTTGTAATATCCGCCACTTGCCCTCCTTTTTGGCTTGCTGGTTGGACTTGTTTTTGTTTTGTTGATGCTGTAATTTTTCTTCATAGGTTTACTTGTAATTTTCTTTTTATCTAATATATGGGCTTTTGCCCCGGGTTTACCCAAAAAAAGTCCATAGGGTCACATGCAGAAAGACAACCAATTAATTTCCTTGCTTTTTCCCAATGCTCCAAAAGTACGTCGCATGCACATTAATACTTGTCTGCCACTCAGTACTTTAATTGTCTAATTGAGATCCACCGACATTTTATTAGGCGTGTAAACGAGTCGAGTCGAGTTAGATTTTGACCTTTATCAAACTTAGCTCGATACATGAAAAGCGAGTTCGAACTCAAGCTCGTCTCGCTGTAAACGAGCTCGAGCCGGCTCGCCAACCATGGGAGAACTCGTTCGCCAATTTTGAGAATTTTACTCGGAATTTCAAATAGGAAGCTCATGAACTTTCTTTTCTGGTAAAATAAATTAGAAATATATTATCTAATAAATAAATAAGTAAATATATTCGCCAACAGAATCAAACACGGAGATTAACTGAGAGAGAAGACGAAGCTGCCTCGTAGTTAGGTGTGTAGAGTAAAGCCGACTTGCAAGGCTCGGATTCGACTCGGACGACGTTTTACGT